TCAGAAGAGTTCAAAAGAGTTATTGAGAAGGTAAACTACCGGGAGTCCACCAGCTTTGCTTGGGAAAAACTGACGGGAAAGAGTCCAACGATTTTTCGGCTTTTCAAGAAAACCAAGAGTGATAGGTTCAAGCTCTTCATCATCAGAATCATCAACAAAATCTTCATCTTTATCTGCATATTCATCATTTTTATTTCTACTGGCCTTGAGTTTGTTGACGGAATCTCCAATCGCACCGGTGTCCATGTGCAGAGAGTAAAAATTGATGGTGCAGTAGCACAGAGAGTCTGAATGTGTTGATGGTTCGAAAGTTCTTTTAGGTCGCCGGCGTAGGCGGTGGCTGGCTATCCAAACGGCGGTTGGAAGAAGGAGACTTGCAGAGAGACAATGAGAAAAGGCGGAGGGTACTAAAGGGGTTAGGGTTTGGGAGGGTAAGATTTAATCAAGGGTTGAGATTAGATTTTATGGTAAGAAGGGATATTAACCATTGATTAAAAACAAAAACAAAACAAAAAAACATTGATTTAGAAAAAGCCATCTATAAACTATTTTTTATTTTGGTTTGAATAAATCTATAAGAAAATGTGAACTTAAATTTTGATTTTGGGTAATGTTAACTTGTACTCTTGGAGTACATGTTTAAAAATCTATAAATAAAAAATATGTATAGAAAAAAAACAATAAAGTTATTAATTATAAGATTGTATATATCTTTTTTAAAGATTAAAGATTTAACACGAATAGGGATGTCAATAGTAGAATTTGGATGAAATATTTAATACTCAATATTTATAATTTGAAAAAATCTTTATATTTAAGTTTATATTCGCAAGAACACCAACTTTAATATTCGTACTCATATTTTATGAGTAACTAAATATTTTATCTGTATTTGTTATCCACAGTTTTAAAAAAATAAATTTTTTAGATTTTAATAGTAGAATTATGAAATAAATAAACTCTTATATTAACATGTCTAATAGTATAAGTGTGATGTTTTTTTTTAAAAGATAGACATACATCTATAATATAAGAAAATAATATGTTCTAAAAAAGTTTGAAATACTTTTATCTAATTTTCTGCTATCACATTAAAACGCTCTTTACTTAATTTTTGTACACTAAAATTTTTAATTTTATTATTAAAATAATGTAATCCCTTGTTAATTTATTAAACTTAGAAAATCTCTCTTCATTATCTCTTTTTTTACTCTTTCATGACTTCCTCTATTTTTTTTTACATTGTTTTCTTTCCTCTCATTTTTTTCTCTTCATTTCCGGTATTTTTCAACAACAATGTTGAATCTAAAATGTTTCTTTCAATCTTCTAAATCGTTTTGAACAACTTCAATCTTCCATTCATATGTGATTTTGAGTTTTATTCTTATTCCAAATTTTAAATCAATGATGTTTCAGATCTGTGAAATAACTGATGTTTTTTAGATATGTGAAAAAAGATAAATGATGTTTTTCAGATATGTGAAATCAAAGAAGATTTGAAAATTTTAAAAGATTAGTTATGTTTTTTAGATCGATGAAATAAAATAACTTCATTTCTTTCCGTTCACTTTCATACTAACTTTAACTTTGATTCATCATTTTTCCCTCTTTTTAACCTTTATGTATATTTTGGTTTTGAATTGAGGTGTTGGTTTAATGCATTCTGATTTTGCTTTTCAAGTTACTCAAGTGGTTTAACACATTTGTTTGTTAGCAACAACATCAAAGGGTGAGCTTTTTAACTTTATATCTCTGGCATGTTATTTTGAATGTTAGTTATGGTCAGTTTTTACATAAAAATTCAACCTTTTACATGTTTCCATGTTTGTATGTTAAAGAAGACTTATGGTGAGTTTTGACATAAAATTTCAACATTTTTCATATTTCCTTTCGTTTGTGTTAAAGAAGTTATCTATGTTTCAGTTTTTGTTTCTCAACCAACTAAAAATAGAAACTTTAACTTATTTCTTACATTAGTCATTCTTAACTCATGGATAAAGAAAATGCAATGATAAATATTTATTTTATTCATGTAGTTTCATTTTAATGTGTTAATTTTGATCCTTTTTTTTGTCTAGGAGCAACGATTTTGGAGTCGAGAGAGATATACAAAGGTTAATTAATTGCTAATATTTGGGGATTTATTTTTAGTTTTTTGGTATTAGTTTTGATTATAGTTATTTGTTATGAAAGATATTGATTTTGTGTTTGTGTTTTTGTTGGAATAAAAAAAAATAAGATTTTGATTCTGAGAAACTAATTGAAGTTAGATAAAAGTATTGGTGAATTGTATTTAATAGAGACAGAAACTGAAACTATGCAAATAAGAATAACTTTCAACTTCGCCTTACGGATAATTGATACTTGATCTTGCCAAAGTTTTCTATGGAGTATATTGAAATTCTCCCCTTAATAGACAATAATAAAGACCAAACTGCATTCAAGAAATGATACATGTACCTATTACAAATAGCAAACTTCACAAAAAAGTATTAGATACCCTAATGTACCACCAGTCTCCTTCAACACTCAATCTTTAGAGATGAAGGTACTCAACAATGAAAAAATACTAAGGATGAAGATGATGTCAGAATATCTCACAAACAATCTAAAAAACAAGGTATTAGTCAAGGGATTAGATGAATGTGAATGAAGAACACACACAAGGTTGTCTCAAATTTCTAGCTAAATGAGTCTTGGTTCTTGACTGTTATCATGAGATTGATTAATCATGAACAACACAACAAGATTAATCAACTCACTCTTTCTAATTCACTAAAAAATAATAACAAACTGCACAAGAACATGATGCAACAAAAAGAAGTGGGTCTGACATGGATTACACTCAAGAGGTTGTTCTAAAGAAGAAGAGAAAGATTTATAGTGATGGATATAGACACACTAAAGAGAGAAGGCAAATTAAATTTTTTGTCTCTATGAGTTTCACTCATATGTTTCACACACTTGTTGCTTTCATCAAAGAAACTATTTAAATCAAGGATGAAAAATGGGTCTTGTGAAGGTTTTATTCGAGTCAAGAAGAAACTTTGATTCAAATCAATTTGAGCAGAGCCCAAATATAGCTTCATGAGACAAGTGATTCGAATCAGTATGTTAACTTCATTCGGATCACAAGAGGTTGTAATTCGAATCAATTTGTCCAGAGGAAATTCCCAAGTTTCACAAGGTTTCTAATTCGAATCATGATTAACACTTGATTCGAATCAAGTAATTGAACATCCAAATTTAAAAGTTATAACTTGTGACTCAAGTCACATCTGATGAAACAACAAAGTAGCAACTTGCTAGTAAGGGCGGGAATAGGCTGGGCCAAGTTAGGCTTTGCCAAGCCAAGCTCTGACCTGTTAAAATATTCAAATCCTAAGTATGCTATGTAGCCTATCATTTACTTAACTTTAGGATTGAGTCTGACATTTTCGAAAGTCTGGTTGTCCTACTAGCCTATTAAAAGTCTACTTCATTTGAGCATTTGTAAATAAGAAATTCAACTAATGTTAAATAGACTAGCAAATCAAAAGATTAATGAGACTAAATACATGTTGTCATTTACTCATTCAAGTTTACCTATTAGCATAAGTTTGGTGATACTATTTGTTTGATAGAACTTACGAAAACAACTTATGACAACAACCTATGACATTGTTCATAATGTTTATTCAACTTATTGTCATAAGTTCTTCAATATAATTAACCTTTATTTTTATATTTTAATTCAAAGTACAAAATAGAATATATTAATAATAAATTTATTCAATTTTTTTAAATAGACTGACTTGATAGACTAAAAAAGATTTTTCTTACGGCTTGTGGTCTAGCCTCCTTAGTTAAATAGAGTTATAAAAAAAATCTAAATATTTTTTATTTAAGAAAAAGTATGACTTTACCTGGACCTACAGAGTGTAGACCCCTATTAATTGGTCCTGCCTTTTTCCACCCCTACTTGCTAGGCTAAAAAATAAACAATATCATGGATGAGAAGACTTATTTAATTGAGTAAGGAGGGTTCATAGTGATACAACAACAAAATAGCCTAAGCAATTACAAATCAAATTAAATATGAATAGAGGACAAGCACACAAATATTAAATGAAAAGCAAATTAAAAATACGCAAGTAAACTAAAACAACTAAATTTAAATTGACAAAAACATCAAAACAAATAAGTGATATCATATAATGTGATTGCAGTTTCACATGCATTATTTAAGAGTCAGCGTCATATTGTGATTGCAGTTTCACATGCATTATTTAAGAGTTAACGTCACTTGGTCTGGCGCCTGTGAACAAGACCTAAGTGGTAGTGTCTCTTATTTTTTTAAATGAAAGCGTCAATTTAATTTGTGACACCTCTTATAAAATATATGCAATCGCCAATTATTTAATTTGTGACACCTCTTATAAAATATATGCAATCGCCAATTATTTAATTTGTGACACCTCTTATAAAATATATGCAATCGCCAATTGAATTGGCTACACCAAATATTGTTGTCAATTCAATTGACTGACGCTTCTTATTTTTTAAATAAAAACGCCAAATTATTTGACAACACCTCTTCTTTAAAAAAAATTCAAAGTGGATTTCTTTAGAAAATAAGTTTAAATGATGATTATTACGAAAATAAAATTGAAAAAATGGTTATTTACATAAAATTTTCAAGAATTTTCGAGATAGAGAGTAAGAGGTTGAGGTTAAGTCCGTAATAGATACTTAAATTAAAATTGTAAAAATACAAACTATGTATACAAACGTATCCAGTTACAAACCCAATTCAGAATTGTTGGTTCAAGATGGAAATGGATAAAATGGTAATAGAAAATTTGTAAGTAATCTCCAATGGTAAATTGAGTACAATATCTCAAGATAACCATCGTCTGAGATTACAAATTGTGGATGACTTGCAACACAAGGACTTTTGAGAAAAAACAAACAATTCTGTATTTACAAAGACAACGGTAATTTTATATATTGACAATAATTTACTCGCTTGAATTCGCTAGACCTACCATATTGAGCATATGCCGATCTTCCTTAAACCTCTCAAGTACAGTTCCCTTAACACCATCATTCTTGTTTTGTACACCTTGAGTCACTCCCCAGCATTCTATTGTTTCGGGTATTATACGGTTAGTTTTGGAGAGTGAGGGGTTACCAAATGTTGAACATGAAAATGTATGTCCTTGATCAAAGTTTGCTGAGATAAATAACCCTAAGTGATTTACTTTTCCTCCAAAACCAATGCCATTTGGAATGTCCTCTGAACTGAAGTTGACAGCACACTGAACACATGGAAATTCAGCAGTCAAATTAAAAGACAAAGAGTTATAAAATGAATAGTCTAATCATTAATTAATCTAAAGAGAAATCAATTATACTTGAAGAACAAAATTTTGATGTCAGTGTATTTTTTTTAATGCAGGTAGGTTGTAGAAGGTAACAAGAGAGATAGAGATAAACACAAAACCGCACAAGTTATGAAGATGGAAACATGTGTATTTATTTATCAATTGATTCGGCGACAAAGCTTACAATCAAAACATTATCAACCAGAGTCATAGACTTACAAGAGAGACATTCTGTCCTAACAAACTTTTGCAACCAAAAGCATAATTCCCTTCACCTAGCCTCTCCCTCGTATAACTAAATCCCCTGGAATTTAGTGATGCTACTAACTCTCATCCCTCCCTCTTTTTCTCTCTTCCTTCTAGACTACAGTGCTGGTACTCTTATAGAACACTGAGTTCTCATAGGTGTGACGACCCAATCATTGGCCTCAATCCACATCAGTACAACTTCTAGAAGTTCAGAGAAGTTATGAGAATAAGAGTCAGTTAGAATATTCCCTGAGTTGAATGGATTTTCTGTTATAAGATAAGAAGGGAAGTTGAGAGGCATCCAGAAAGTTTGTTAGAAGTTACTCTCTGGTTTAGGAGTTCATAGAACTCTGGTTTAATCTTTTCTTTCTGTATTTCCAGCAATGTAAGAGCTTTAAGCTCAAGAATTTGCTATTAATCATACACTTTGGTACATGTAAGTTCTGGTTTCTATAATTGGTCCGACCTGAGGTCTCAAGCCTGAAATTCGCATGAGGGTGAGAACTTTCAATCCTCAACTGAATCCAGGCCATGAAACTCAATAGGGACGTGAAAGTTAAACTTCGAGGTTGGGCGGCACCGAGAGGAGGGAGTCGCGAAATTCGAAGTGGAAAGGGGAAAGGTGGAAACATGGTTAATTCTGGGTCAGATTGTAAGACATACTAAGGGGTCTAGTTATAACCTGGGCTCAACTTGTGGGAAATTTGATAGTGGGCCAAAAGGAACCTCTCAACCCAAAGAGGGTAGAAATAATAGGGACCCTAATTGAAGTCCCTCCCTAAATTCTGACACGTCACACTCAACCAGAGATCAAGAGCTTAAGGATCACAAATCTCACGACCTCTACTTCAGATGTGGGGAACAGAACGCTACCACCCACTCCACCAATGTACTGAAAACACAACTATGCTTAGTGATTTTGGATCATGACGAAACAATCAACAAAGGAGAGGTAATAGCCATGGAAGTGAACGCATAGAAGGCGAAGTCGTGCAAGCCTGAGTCTCCCGGAATTGAACCATGTGGCCCTTCTTCAAAACGTTAGACCCACTACCTTGAGATTTACGCGAAGCTTGAATGATATTTCAATTCTGGTTTTGGTGGATACGGAGCTAGCCACAATTCCATATCTTCTCAAATGGTGGCAACCTTGCAACTACTAGTAGACCCATGTCAGACAACAAGCGTAAAACTAGGGAACAACGTTTGCGCCACAACCGAGGGTGAATGTAAAGGGCGGCATGTTCAATTTAGGAATTTTTCCTCCATGATTGACGCCTATGACTTAGAGCTAGAGGACATGTATATGATTTTGGGAATGAATTGGTTGCACAAGCTAGGCAAAGTGGTGTTTGTTGGGGAAAAAATGGTCATACGTTTTGAAGTGAAGCTACAGAGTCAAAATTTCAAGGGCTTGGAAATTCACAAGGAAAGGCGTCATGTGTTGAGGAAACGAGCATACAGCGCCCAAAAAGATTGTAAAAAGTGAGGGGAACAAAGTAACCATATGCTGGAATCTGGAGCTTTGTTAGAAGATCAATTAGTCCATGCTAGCCTTGAGGACAAGGTTGTTTCTAAAGGAGGTAGTAATGATAGAACATTGAATTCTCATAGGTTTGATGACCTAATCATTGTGCCCAATCCACAGCAACACGGCTTCTAGAAGCTTGTAGAAGCTGTGAGAATATGAGTCTGTTATAATATTCCCCAGGTTTAAGGGACTTTCTCTTATAAGAGAGAGGTATGGAAAGTTGAGAGGCATTCAGAAGTTAGGAAAGATACTCTCTAGTTTAGGAGTTAATCGAATTCTGGTTTATCCTTTTCTTTCTGCATTTCCAGTAATCATACACTTTGTGACCTGTAAATTCTGGTTCATATCATATTCCCTAGGAAAATACAGTGTGTGTACTCCCTCTGTCTCCAAATACTAGAAAAAATGGGTCAAAGAAAGATAGTGTGTATTTGGACCAAATACATCCACTTTCTTTGATCTATTTTTACTTATATCATTCAATGTAGCAAGGAATTCTCCATTATGTGTGATTTTATTTCACGACATGGTAATAGATTTAAACCACCATCTTATCATGACTTTAGAGTTAAGTTATTATACCAAGAAGTGAAATTGACAAACGATGCTTTGGTAGAAAATGGAATGGATTGGAAAATAATTAGTTGCACCATAATGAAAAATGGATAAACTAGTAAGAAGATGGGGACAACTACACTTTTGAAGTATGTTGATGCATCCAACATATCCGAAATAACTGACAAACTCTTTGAGACGATAGATGCAGTTGTTGAAGAGGTTAGAGAAGAAAATGGCATTCAAGTTGTGACAGACAGTGCAACAAACTACAAGATTGTCGGTGAGATGTTAATGCAAAAGAGGAAAAAATTGTAATGATAATTTTTGTGCAACACATTGTCTTGATTTGATGCTAGAAAACTTGGCCAAAAAAACAGTAGTTCATGGAGAGACAATTTTAAAGGTATTAAAATTGCTAAGTTTTATCGATCCCAAAACTTCTCTCATTCCTATTTCGCATCTTTTCACAAAATATAGAGATTTTGTGAAACAATGCAAAATGCAAAATAGAAATGAGAGATGTGAAATAAATAAAAGTTGTAATTTTTTATCCTTTGGAATTGTCTCTCCGAGAACCAGAATCATCTTTGTTAAGAGTCTCACATCGGACAATATATGGCATGAACATGTGTTTATAAGTGGGAGCAATCCTCACTCTACCAACCGGTTTTGTAGGGTTGAGTTAGGCCCAACCACAATTCTTAACATGGTATCAGAGCCTGGTTTAAGATCCGGTGGGCCACCTTCTATGGTTTCCGCTATCGGGCCACCCACCATTTATTTCCACGCTTCAGTTGTCCAATCCTGAGCGTGAGGGGGGGTGTTAAGAGTCCCACATCGGACAATATATGGCATGAACAAGTGTTTATAAGTGGGAGCAATCCTCACTCTACCAACCGGTTTTGTAGGGTTGAGTTAGGCCCAACCACAATTCTTAACAATCTTCTAAAATATTTCTAGCATTAAATCAAGACATTGTGTTGCAAAGGTTTTCAATACAAATTTTCCTCTTTTGCATCAACATCTCACTAGCAACATTGTAGTTTGTTGCATTGCTTGTCATGACCTGAATGACATTTTGTTCTTCAACCTCTTTAACAATTGCATCTATAATCTCAAAGAGTTTCTCAATTGTTTTGGATATGTTAGATGCGTCAATAGGCCAAAAATACAGTACCCTTTGGACTCTTCGTCAAAAAGTTAATATTGTCTCTGTCCTCCTAGAAGTCCATCAATTTGTCCTTATGGTTTGGCCAGTTGACTTCCATTCCTTTCTAATTCTTCCAAAGCATCATTTGTCGGTTTCACCTCTTGATTTAATAATTTTCACTCTATGGTCATGATAAGATGGTGGCTTAAATTAATTACTATGTCATGAAATAAAATCACATAATGGAGAACTCATCACTCCTTGCTACATTGAATGAGATACATTGTTTTTAAAAAAAATTGAAATCCATCATCTCTCAAACGCTTCTTTAACATTGGATTCATGGTAGGTTGTGAGCTGAAACACCTCTTCTTAAATGTTTCCATAACTATTATTTTGTGTCTTGCTCATTCCTTTTTGCCAACCTCAGTAATCTCCTCTTCCACGTGTGTTTTCTTGATAAAATTTTCTTTCACACCAGCAAAAAATTTTAACATCTTATTGACTTCATCACGGACAACCTTACATGGTTCTACAATTTTTTTGAGTGGTTCCACAATTTTTTTGAGTTCCAACCAAGCGATGCTTTAGCCTGTAAGCACCTCCAGTTATTTTTTTTGTTTTTATAATACTTGCACTGTATATTCCAAGGAATATCAAGAGCTTCAACACTATGTTTCTAGACTACACCACTTTTATTACCAAGCAACATTTTTTGCTAATACTTTCTGTCATGGTGCACTTGCAGAGGGAGCAGAGATAGCACCAACAACAAAAGTTCCAATAACAGAGCTTGAAGCCATGGATTAATGAAGTGGCAATAGTAACAGAGCAATGCAAGGAATGAATCAAACAATGTATAAAAAAGTGAATAGAAAGAAAGGTTGCACACGATGGAAGGCAAGGCAGCATAAAACTGAAAGAATATAAGAAGATAGAAGATAATATCTATTGTGAATAGTGAGTGATAGAGGGAGTGCAATGAATCTTTGAGTATTGGGAAACTTTCCACAAATTAATAGACTTAGTAGATGCATTGGAAAGGTTTACTAAAATTAATTGGAATAATGGGTCAAAAAGTAACTATCACCATTCACAGAAAACCAAAAACGTAATTTTTTAGGGTTTCTACACATTAAATGTTGTTTCTTTTGGGTCACTATCCCAGCCGCTCCCCACAATATCCGACTCAGGCCACTCACGAACACGTCAAAGGGAGGCAATATCATGCAAGCGTATGATTCTACGGTCCAGACCATGATTTTGTCAACCATGACTCCTACGAGAGGAGACAAGTGGATAATTCCCTACACCACCTAGCGTCTCCCCCTAATATAACCGAATCCCGAGTAATCTAGGAACACCTTACCAACTTACTCTCATTTGCTTCTTCTTTCTCTCTTCCTTCTAGAACAATTCTCCAAGTAATGGGACTCTTTGGACCCAAGTCTAACATGTAATCCAATCCCTTCTCAATGCCATCCTTAGACCTGTGGTTCCTATCATTAACTAATACCATTTTAGAATTTTGATTTAGGCCTAACTCAACATCAAAAGCTAGCTCATGAGTTGAAAGTTGTCCACAACATATAACAACGGTTCATACATTAGCACTATGCAATGCTGACTCACAAAGAAATCATCTTTTTATAACAAATATTTCATGTATGTTTAATCCTCACACCAAAAAAATGCCATTGAAGCTTATAAGACGCACGGTCTAATACTCTATAAAGAGCACCTCACGTCATGTTTTCGTATATATTTGTTTTAATTGCAGTATCAATGTTAATCTACTTTGTAACACTATCATATATTGAGAGTTGTTTGATTATCACAATTCACAGTTTTAGCATACTACACAATTTAGAATATTCGAAAGAAGCATGTTTTTACCCATTGTAGATTAGTGTTTGCTCCAGTCGGCCTAAATATAGATGCCTTTGGATTTAGTTGAAAAAGGTAACATTTCATGTCTCCATAAAATTCAGCATGCCGCTCCCATTGTTGAGAAGCATATCCTCCATATATATAACCATCTTTATCCTTAATAATTAGCACGGTTGGGCCTTTGTGGTTTCTGCAATTAAGATTAAGAGCTTTTAATGCATTCCGAATTTCCAATCGAACAAAGTTTATTTAGAGTAGCTATTAAAACATTCCTTAAATGAAAATAAACTGGATTAACTTAACCGACATTTTAGCATTTACAACCTCCGAGAACAACAGAAATTGATAAACGGCTTTTTGTCAATTATCAAAATCGTAATAATGAATTAGTTGCATTGCATGTTGCTTCCAACTTTTATGGTAATGATAGATAAAAGCCTTTAATGTTGGAATGTAACATCTGCTCCTAAATTTTTTAGTTCACGACTAAAGTCAATCAGTTAAATCTAGACATGGCTATTAGCTTATAAACCTAACAAGCAACTAATTGTAGGATGCTTCAAAGGGAAGAAAATGTACTTACGAAATGTTGCCCAAGAATGTATTGAAACTAAGACCATTAACAGAACTATGATACAAAAGCTTCCAATCTTCCAGCTCGTGCTGAGAAAGTGCTCCTCCTATATGCCAAGCATACTCCTTTCTTAAAAGTACAGTGTTAGAATCAATATCCTTCGGGGTCAGTAGATTAGGAATTTGAGTACCTGGTCGTCCTACAAAAAAAGCAGAACGTTGGGATAAGAAGATATGCAATCATTTACCCTGAACTTTCTTTAAAACTAATCCAATAGCATTTGATCTAAAAAAAAGGTACTAAAATGAAATTAATCCAAACAAGTAAATAGCAAATGGGAAGGAAATTTAATATGTTGCATGGAAAGAACAAATTTGATAAACAGGGTCGTAAGAAGGGCTAGATGGGGGTTGTGTGTTTCCATTTCAATTTCCACTTATTATATCTTTTAAGCCATAAGAATTTACTTTGGCTGGAAAACATGCCATAAGTCCCCATATTTTCTTCGCTTATCTTATCAATAGCGCAATCTCCCTATGTTAGATAGGAATTGTTCAACTAAACAACCCTTTATAAAAGATTCTTTTTCTATATTCTCTAACTAACTTTCCCTCTTATTTGTTATTTAAAAGTCAATCCCTCCTCTAAACTAAGTCACATTTTAGATAAACCAATAAGATATTAATTTGATACCCAAAATATCACAAATCAAGTGCAGCAAGACCTGAATCAGGAGGCAAAAGCAAGCTTCCAAGAAGCTTCCTCACAGTTGGCAGATGAGAACACCAACTTCTGAAATCTTCAAAAGACATAGCCTCCTCAATGCACTTTTCATCGTGTATGGAAAAATTAGCAGCACTCAGAAATATGTTGACAATATCTTGATGCGAACTTGATCCAACTTCAGAACCTTCTATGCATAATATATCGGTAAAGATGGCATTCATAACTGATTCCAAATCAGACCTGCATCACCAATGCAACATGCATCGACATGATTTTAAATTTTAAAAGAACCAAAAATGTAAATTAATTCTTAAGACCTAATCATAAACCAAACATAAATAAAGTAAACTACAACATTTAGAAGCCCCTTATTTTAGAAACATAAAAAGAATATCAATCAGACTAACAGCACTATCTCTAAATAAGTACCACTTAGAACTAATCACACGGTTCAACTTGCACAAAATTGTTTAAAACCGAGAACTTAAACTTCATAGCTTGAAAAATTTTCCACGGACAAAAACATATCTGTACAATAAAGAGACACGTCATTAAAAACCACTGTCCGTATTAACAGATTTCATGGCTTAAATATTTTTGAACAAATAAACAGTTGTGTGTGATCATTGATCAGAACCCTGTAATCAATTTTCAGAAGTATATAATATAGAACTAGAAGTTTTAAGTGAGTATGTTCTACCTCCCTACAAAATTATCTCCAGATACATCTAAAACGTGGAATATAAATTCTTCGATTTCATCTTTTGTTCCTTTCTCATAAGTAGCCTGCAACATAAAAAGGTAAACACACATACACACACATGGAAAAGTTAGATAATCATAGTTTTATGAACAATAGCAACAAAACATGATGATAATAACCAAGAACTCACTTTAGTAATCACAAGGTCTTCAAAAGTTAACTTTTGATCCTTCCGCTCCTGAGTAACTAAATCAAACATCCTCTCTCCAATAGGGCCATGGAGTTTGAAATATGACTATAACCCCAAAATGAAAACAAAAAAATTGATTTTTCATGCATTATAGAGAATGATAACAACAAAGGGAATTAAATTAATCGCCGAATTTGAAATTACCTGAAAAACTGAAGGAGAAATGTATTTGCCATTGCTGTGTGATTGAGATGCTAGAGAATTGAAGAGTGATTTTAGGTCTTCAAGTCCCTTTTGAGTAAAAGCTCTGCGATGATTTTGTAGATTAATCTATGAAAATTGATTTTGTGAGAAGATGTGAATTGAGGAGGAAGAGAAAAAGAGGAACCTGGATGCTGAAACGTATTGAGGATCAGTGGGAGGAGAGTGAGCGTTACCCATTGATTGCTTAGCGACGAATTTTCGGACTCTACTGTCTTCCTGTGATTTGGGACAGGTGTTTCTGATTCTGCCATACTTCTTCTCTTTGTGAAAGATATAATATATTATATTATAGTATTTATTTAATTTAATTTTTTTGGGGAGGTGGCATTTTTTTTTCAAAAATAAAATAAAATATTTGTAGGAGTTTTTTTTTAAATTAAAATTGTCATTTCATTTATTTAAATCGATAGAATACATCGAATAATACGTATTCAAAATCGTTATAAATAAAAAGAATGAATCTGTGAACAAACTTAGAGCATCCACGTTAATAGCATATAATAACAAAATGCTTATAAATGTGACAAAGTCTACAAATATGACGAAATTGAAATGCTCGCAATATTCATGTCTCGGAGTCTACAACGTTGACGCATCAAAGTCGTTGATAAAGGTTATTGTTACATTATGAAATAAAATTATACAACTAAATTCGAGTTATGTGTTTCATGCACGGGACCTCAACGAACTATATCTTGATTAGAGTGAATATTTGCATGTTTAAGAGCGTTCGTGGTACGGTTTGAGTGGTTTTGACGCTAAAAACATCTGAATCGTAAGAGAAAAAGTGTGTGCTTCGATTTGCTTCGATTGATTTTTAGAAATAAAATTGAACCAAACCAAATCAAATCAATGTGGTTTGAGTTGGTTCGATTTTTATTCGAGTCATACATACACATATAGAGGAGAACATAACTTTGTATTTAGTCATTCATACATGACCAAATAACACATAGCAATGTCAAGAACATAAGAGATGTGATAAAAACGAAATTGGAAGAGAGAACGGTAGCATAAAAATGAGAAGATGAAAATGAAATAACATAAGAAAGGAGAAATTAGAGAAGAAGATGAGAGATGTATCTTACGAAGAAGAAGAGACGAGGTTGCAATAATGCTAAGAGATATTAGAGAAAGCTGAAATTGAAACCCTAAGTGTGAGGAAGAGAAAATTATTCATAATCATAGAGTTAAGATATAATGGATTTAAGTTTGATGTGGGTTAAGTGAAGTTTGAGTTGCATCATAATGCGATTTGGTTTGTTTTAATACAAACCGTAAACCAAATCAAACTACATAACTTTGTTTGAAAATGGCACAAACACTACCGAATCAAACACATTTTTTTGCAATTTTTGATTTGGTTTGGTTCGGTTAGCGGCTTTCCAGTTCGATTTTGAACACCCCTAGGCATGTTTGTGGCTAGTGTTTATGAAAAAATGAACTTCGTTGCTATGAGATCCAATCAACTTATTCATATTAAGTAATATTGCAATTTACGTTTAACACTTCTAGTGTGTCTTGTCTTTTAGTTATCTACTTCACACTTCTCGAACACATCTTCTTTTACATCTATCTTCTTTTTTGTTCGAAAATATTTTTTAGATATTTGAATTTCGAATATAACAAAGGCCGCCAAAATGTTAATTGACAAATACATATGTTTCCATTGATTTTTTTCTATCAATTTAAACATGTGATGGTACCCTTCAAACTTTAGGGAAATAGTTATTACTATTTTAAACACCCATAATTTTTAGTGCAGGGGAACATCATGATGATGCATCATCTTCTTGAACTTCTTATTTCAAATACACATTATTTTAACACTAAAACTTTACATCAATCTCAAATACACATTATTCTAACCACAAAACCTTACATTTACCGTTCTCCCTAACTTAAGTGTCATAGTGTTTACATATGTCAAACTTTATTTTCATAATTGTTGTATTGAAGCCAAAATCTTCACTAGAGTTCTAAAGTTGCTTTGTCTTCCTAAGATTTCAGTTTTGTTGTTTGTTATGTTTATTTTATTTTATGTTTATCATTTTAGTAATCGACTATCCTTTAAGTTATATTTTTGCACATATCTTAGAATTGAGCGCAATTCATTAAATATGTATGCATAAATTAAACCATTATGTAAAAATCGATGCAAAATGATTCAAGTCAATTAGTCAAATAATTGGGTCAAGAAACACATGAATGTATGGTTCATATCATGCTAACTTTAGGTTCATATCATGCTAACTTTAGATTCAATCATGAACATATCACTTTTCTTTAAAAAGAAATCATTTTTTTGAAGTGTGGTTCGAATTAAAGTTATGCATGATTTGAATAAATAAATGTGAAAATCAAGTTTAGCCTTTGTTAGAGTGATTCAAATCACAAGTTTCCTTGATTTGAATTAGGTGACAACTTGATTCGAATCACACTAAATGTTGATTTAAATTAATAACTCTGTTTAAGTTCTGGATTTTTGTCTTGTCAAAGTGATTAGAATCATAGGATTCCATGACTATAATATTTAAAATTTTAGTTTTAAGTTCTTAATTCAAATCATTTTCTCATTCAAATCATACTCTCTGCTCTTGACTCAAATTAAAAAGGTGTTTTTACTCATTTTTTGCACATATATAAATCTCTCTCTCTCTCTCTCCCTCTTAATATGCCGCAATTATACAAAATCTTGAAGTTGTGAGTGTCCTTCCTTTTAGAATTGTTTTGTATGATGTCAAAACTAGGGTACTTTAGTATTTATGTATATTGGACGGTATCCTCTGAATATAAATATGCATCTTAGCATTATGAATCATACCAACATTTTAGAAATAGTTTAGATAAGGTTAGAAAAGTTTTCATGCATTAAAAATTGTTTTTTATATGAAAAACAGGTTTATGTATTGACAAATCCATGATATGAGTCGACACATAGAAGAAATTTTTTCCTATGTGTCGACATGTATGAGTTACAAGTTAACACATATAAGTCATTTTTAAAGCTTGTAGCTTATGTTTGATGTGCCGCATATATGACTGGGTGTGAAATCTAATTGCAAGTCCACAACCTAACGTGTAGTTTTAAAAGGTATCGATCCCACAGAGACCAATAGTCAAAGATCTATTATTTCCAGTTGTTATGGTGTTTATCTAAGGCGAATGAAATAGTTAAGAGGAAGAAAACGAAATAAAAAGGATTTAATAAAAATAGATGAATAACAATATTGGAATGAAATTCACATCAATCAACAATACTCTAATCGTCTCTACTAAGATTATTTACGGGGCAATATTTTCACTTTGAAAAGAATCAATTTAACGGAAACTGTCGCTTATGCATACAAAACCGAATTTACTCTCTAATTAATGTTGTTCATTGTAACTTATGGAAGGTGCTTATCGCGTTAAAGTAGTAAACCTATTTTTAAGAAATTAAACTCTTAAATCAGTCGAAAAGTGATTTTGATTGGAAAGTTTAACTTAAAAGTGTTCCAGGCTTTTGCTCAGGTAATCAGATCCTAAACCTATAAACAATGCGCTTTTGTAAATAGTTTTAAAACCGCTTTCTAGAAATATTAGACTACTTAATTAATTAACAAAGTGATTTCGCGGTATTTGTTAATAAAAACAAACCAATTTTAGTTTTTAGTGTCGGACGGCTTTCGACCTTACCCAGTGTTTTCACTGCCCCACTTTCGTAGGGGCAGATTAAAATAAATTTAGAAAAACTGCGTTTAAACCAAAACAGCCCACAAAGGTAATCCTAAAGAAACAAGATGTAGAGCATCGTATATTGATGATCCTTACATCCCAACACTAATAAGTTAGTCGGACATGGTTATTAGAAACAAAACATAAAGGGTTTTAAGTGCAAACATAATGACTGGTAAAAAGCATTTTGAAATAAAGTTGTGATAGAGGTAAATAAGATGAAGAGAATAATTGTGAGGTAAATAAAACATAAAAGTAAAGGCAAGAAAAATTAAATATAAAAGCGAAATGAATTAAAAATTTGCTCCAAACGGAGTCTTGAAACTGGTACAATAAATGCTGAAGTAATCTTGACGGAAATAAAACTTGTATATGGATCATCCAAACTTGATACAAACTTAATTCGTGACGCGATAACTCTTCGATATGAAGGGTTATGCTTATAATTGGATAGTGTATGGCGTAAGTGTGCACGAAACTTGGATCATCAAAAGTGGAGGCAACATGGGGTATTTATAGGGTTCTAAAAATCCTTAAAATCACTCCAAAAACGTAGAGAGAAAGTATGAGCGCTTGTGGACTCTTGGGGGCTAAGTAAATTCTGTTCCTAACCGTTTTGACCCAATAGAGTATGGCAGACGCCATGGCGGTGTGGCGAATGCCACACCTTGCTAACTCATGCCCGTTTGTTCCTCTTCCTTCGTTTATGGGCCCCGTGTAGTCACCTTGAGTGCAAACTGCTCCATTTCTTTCGTTTTTCGCCTGTTTTGCTCTGTTTCTTCGCAAAGACCTCTTAAATGGCTAAATATCTTAAACACAAATAAAACACCCACATAATAGTGAAAATGTAAAGAAAATGACAATAAAACATGCATAAAGCAAGTCAAATAAATGATGAAATCTCGTGTCATCAAACTCTCCCATACTTGAACCTTTGTTTGTCCTTAAGCAAAATGAAAGTAAATAGTGGCACTCAAATAGTTACTCAGGGCTTTAAAGACTTTGCTTTGAACCAGGCTATGTCAGTAGGTACTAATTCACAAAAACAAGAGTATCGTAATAACATATTCTACATTTTGCGGTCATAAGTCTCCTTCCTATACAAACCAATCTGGATCATATCATTATGCTTAAGCCTAACTTACTCGTCCCATTTTTCATCCTTTTTCATTTAGGCGCAATCACATTAAGTCTTTTATCCCTACACACTCATAGTAAGGTGACCGATTAGTGATTATGATCCTTTGCACGGGGTTTTGGTAACTAAAGTGATGTAACCCCTTTGTTTACCCAATTGTAATTGTGGGGGATCAGACCATAATCTGCCCTACCAAGTTCAGCACCAGATACCTCTGAACCAATTAACAACGGGTTTTTATTTTATTTTTGCAGGTCCCACAACCGTTGGGTTAAGCGACCGGGTGAAGGTCACCAAACTTAGAAGGTGCATTCCCTATTTT